TCATTGCTGATTGTGAATGATCTTTAATACTGTGTTGTTCCACCTCACGTTTAATACCAACTCCAGACTACTTCAAATAAATGGAACAATACCTCCACTCAAATTACAGGCAGGAATTGAAATCATTATCATCCACATTAATTCCTGCCCTCTTTCCCATAATGTTCTCCTCTGTTTACTCTCAGTCTTTGCTCACACAAACAAAATATTCAATTCCTTCCTCTTCTTCACAGTGTGGCAACCAGTTTCGTTCTGTGTTGATAACATGAACACAATTGGCCACAATCCATAGCAGGATCAACATGACCCCCAAGGGGCAGAGATTCTCTCTTTCCCAATATCAGTGAGTGGAGGCACTTTTCTAAGGTTTTAGAACAAAGCTGAACCTTGTATCTAGGCTATTCGGCCCATCAAGCCTGCCATATCATTCAATATGATCAAGGCTGACTGAATGGGTGGCACGGTGGCTCAGTGGTTAGCACTGCTGCCTCACAGCGCTAGGGACCCAGGTTTGATTCCAGCCTTGGGCAACTGTCTGTGTGGAGTTTGCATGTTTTCCCTGTATCTGCGTGGGTTTCCTCCGGATGCTCTGGTTTCCTCCCACAGTCTAAAGATGTGTAGCTAAGGTGGATTGGCCACGGGAAATTGCCCACAGTGTTCAGGGATGTGGACCTTAGGTGGGTTATTGGGGGATGGGTCTGGGTGGGATGCTCCAAGGGTCAGTGTGGACTTGTTGGGCCAAAGGGTCTGTTTCCACACTGTAGGAATTCTATGAACATTTCAAAGCTTTTTACTCAGCCCATTCCCATGACCCTGGACACCATTGGTGATCAGATATCAATCTCAACTTCAAATATATTCAATCACTGAGCTTCCACGGCCCTCTGAGGTAGAGAATTCCAAAGGTTCATAAATCTCTGAGTAAAATCATTTCTCCTCATCTCAGGTCGAAGTGGCATCCCTGTATTTTTACATTGCATTCAATGGTTCTGGACTGCCCACCCTCGGGAAACATCATATCTGCACTTACCCTGTCTATCCCTTTAAGTGTTTTGTAAGTTAGGAGGAGATCACCTCTCACTCTTCAGAACAATCTATCTCAGAACCCAAAGGCCTTGAGCTGCCAGGAGCTTAGAGAATATGACCAGAAACACCACAAGAAGCAGTAGGCGTTCGTGTGCTGTGTCAACGCAATCCTCGAGTTGCTCAGCTTGGCCTTGCTGCTTGACAGTTGAGAGCAGCTCAAAGAGATGGTGGAGGATGGTCGGGCCAAAAGGGGTGGCTCAGTGGTTAGCACTGCTGCCTCACAGTGCCAGGGACCTGGGTTCGATTCCAGCCTCGGGTGACTGTCTGTGTGGAGCTTGCACATTCTCCCTGTGTCTGCATGGATTTCCTCCTGGTGCTCCGGTTTCCTCCCACAGTCCAAAGATGTGCAGGGTAGGTAGATTGGCCATGGTGTCCAGGGATGTGTAGATTAGGTGGGTTATAGGGGGATGGCTCTGGGTGGGATGCTCTGAGAGTCAGTGTGGGCTTGTTGGGCCGAAGGGCCTGTTTCCACACTGTAGGGATTCTGTGATCCTATGATGCGGACTCAATGGGCTGAATGGCCTCTTCCTGTACTGTAAGATTCCATGATTTGATGCGATTCTCTCTCATGTTTGGTCATGGGTTGGAAGATGCTGTCGAAAGAACCTTGTTGCGTTGCTGATGTGTATCTTGGAAGTTACAATGCTATTGACTAGAAACTGCACTGGGCCAGTCACACGATATACTGTAGCAACAAGAGCAAGTCAGAGAGTGGAAATCCTGCACAACATAACTTACTCCCTGACTCCCAAAAACCTGTCTGCAATCTACAAGGCAGATAGTTATTAAACAAGTGCATTAGGGAAAATTTTTTTTTCCACTTGGGATGATGAGATGTGATACCAGTGGAAGTGGTGAGATGTATTCAAATGGAAACAAAACCAGAAAAAGAGAGGAAAGGGAGTGGAAAGATTAAACAATGGCATAGAAAATATTTTTACAAAACCTCAAAAGGATCCCTCTGATTTATTTTAGTATGGAGAGCACAGAAACTTCAGTTTACAATGCATGGATAAAAAGATTTCTCCAAAGTCAATATATTAATTCAATTTCTGAAAAGGTTAAGGCGTTTCATAATGAACTGCCACAATCAGTTTAAGGTTCTCTTCACCATAGAGTGGCATTACAAAGTTGTGCAGGTTGGCTGAAATTATTTGTGGCAGAAATAATTTTAAGGGATATAACTTTCACCATCAGCAGTTACATTGGTATTGTATTTAGCTTAAAGATCTGACTACCAATTTGTCAAAGGTATTATTTTGGCTCGATGAAAGTATTCTTTTCAAGGTGAGCAGCGTTTTAAATTAGCTAATTTCCACTGTATTAATATTGTTGAACCCTAACAACTAAAGACACACTACAAGTTTAAAAATCAAATGAAAAGGGAGTTGAAAGGTTGAGATGAGGTGTACAAGGAACAGGAGGAGGCACCAACACAGACTGTTTGGGCTGAATGGCCACTTCCTGCATTGTATGTTACACTTAATTCTATGTAAAATTGACAAGAGGAGGTGGGCATTATGGACTTTTCTATGAACCAGTCTTTGCAAGTCCAAGTTTACACACAGATCCCATTTGGGTTTGAGAATCTACTGGGGTCACAGCAGAGACAGCCCAATATCAGCACTTACAGGGTCTGGGTCTAGGAAGCAGCAAGACAGGCCAACCCATCTCTCTCTCCACCCCCCAAACAGGCCCGCACCACTGCCATGCTGTCTAAACACCTGCTAATGCCTCCCCCTGCCTCTCCCACTCCCACCGCCACCACCCAATCATCAACACTCACCCCAACTGACCCTCACTGCTCCCACCCTCCCACCACCCCTACAACTGCACTGGTAATGAAAACAGTTCAGGCAGCATCTGAGAAATAGGAAAGCCGACGTTTCAGGTCGGGGAAGGGTCCCGACCCGAAACGTCAACATTCCTGCTTCTCCGGTGCAGCCTGACCTGCTGTGTTCCTCCAGCCCCACACTGTGTTATCTCTGACTCCAGCATCTGCAGTTCTTACTTTCTCTGATGAAAACAGTTCGCTTTTAACCCTTGAACTGCCTCAATCCAATGACCGATGTCTGAAAGAATACCCCTCCATCAGTTTGGCCCCGAGAGGTGATTGGAGCAAAGAGAAACGATGGAGAAAGCTTGAATGATCTGAGATCTATTCCCAGAGCCTCCTGGTTACCCTAGAAATCAAAGGTCATCATGCTCTGTGTACAAGAGGGAGGCTAGTCGCTGACAGAACAATTACATGGGATGTTCCTCTCTGCGGGCAGTCTGAAAATGCAGGATTCACAAGCTCAATTATATCAGTGTGTTTCGTGGCCAGCAGAGTGAGCTCATCAATATTGCCTCAGGGAGATACAACCATTAAAAGGGATGTGTACTGGAAATCATGAGGAAAAGCAACTAATAATCTCTCCAGGATTCATTTTACTTGCATTACCATCAATTTTTAAAACTGCTCCTTCACAGGATGTGGGCAGCATTTATTGCCCATCCCTCTGGGCAATTAAGAGTCAACCCCATTGCTGTGGGTCTGGAGTGATGTGTAGGCCAGACCGGGTAAAGATGGCAGATTTCCTTCCCTGAAAGACACGAGAGAACCAGATGGCGTTTTCCCGACATTTGACAATGGATTCATAGTCAAATCGAACCATAACGTGGAGGACTTTTGAAAACATACATTGTTTACAAAGGAAATTCTGAGGAAGGGTCACTCAGCCTGAAACGTTAACTCTGCTTTCTCTCCACAGATGCTTTTCCAGTAATTCTTGTTTTTGTTTACAAAGGTGCCTGAACAGACAGAGATATCAGTCACAGCCCAAATGGGCTTGTAAGCCAGAGGTTCATGTGTTTGAGAACTTTACCCAATCCCAGCACCATGGAACAGATAAACCCGGCTGAAACACTCTCTGGGTCCTACTGGAGGTTAGTAGATTTGCAGATGACACTGAAATTGGTGGATAGTGGATGGTGAAGAAGGCTATCTAAGATTTCAAAGAGATCTTAATCACTTAGCTCAATGGGTTGAAGAGTGGCAGGTGGAGCTTAAAAGACATTTGGATAAGTTCATGAATAGGAAAGATGTGGAGCAATATGGGCCAGGAGCAGGCAAGTGGGATTAGTTTAGTTTGGGAGCGTGGTTGGGTGTGAACTGGTTGGATTGAAGAGGCTGTATGACACTGTGGCTCTATTACTCTGCTGTGGGAGTGCAGCACTGTCAGAGGCACCGATGAGGCATGAAACTGAGTCTTGCATCTCCTCTCTCAGCTGAATATAAAAGATCCTGTGGCTACTAGTACAACAGAGAGCACAAACTGTTCTCCCTAACCTCCTGAGCATTACTTAAACCCTCATCAAAAAGCAGGTTTTAAAAGAAGAGGTCATCATCTCATTGCTGTTTGTGGGAGCTTGCTGTGTACAAATTGGCTGCGGGGTTTTCTATTGCAACCAGTGACCGCACGTCAAGGAAAGCAGTTCATTGGTAATAAATGGAATATGCTGAAGATGTGAATGTGGCTATATGGACACCTATCAATCCCACTCCCAGGGACTGTCACCCTCTCAGTGACAAAGTGGGAGAGATCCCTTCGGAGATTGAGGAGGTTAATCTTGTTTCCTCAATTCTAACGGCAGTGGGATGGGTGGCAAGCTCGACATTTCTCCCACATAAATTAACACCAGCCCAAACCTGAACCCCAGATTTTCCGTGATATCCTTGCTATCGTGCCCCCATCAGCGAGTGCATTTGGAAAGCGAGTGGCTGCTCAGGGCTAGCTCTGGGTTCCCCCACCTGCTGTTCATACACAGCGATCTTGTTCACTGTAACAGCTGGCTCGGCTTACCAGCTTCACTAAATCATTTTGAGTTTTAATTAAGCAACAGCCCAGTCAGACACATCATTAAGATCGTACCTGTTCGTGGTGCTCGATCCCCATGCTAATAGTGTTGATGAGAATTGCCATCATGATGCCTCGGTTGAAATATTTGCTCTCCACGATATTTGTCAGCTTGCCACGCATTTCGCTCCACAATTCAACACACCAGCCCGGCTCCCCTTCTGGCTTCACTGTCCCCTTTCTTTCCAACTCTGCCTCTTTGTCCATCCCCGCCTCGCAAACCGCTCCGGCCTCAGTGTCAACCAGGTCTGAGGCTTTGCTTCCTGCGGTCAGTTCGATGCTGTTGCATTGTGGGCAGTGGCTAGGGTCAGAGGTCAGGCTCAGGACAATGGGCTGGACGATTGCGTGTGGGGTGTAATCCAGGTTGTCCATCACGGGGCAGTGCCCTGAGAAATGAAAGAGTTGCCAGTTATGAAGAAACATAGAAACAGGAGTAGGCCTTTTGAGCCTGCTCTGCCATTTAATACGATCATGGCTGATCATCTAACTCAGTCCCACGTTCCTGCTTTGTCCCCATATCCTTTGTTCCCTTTAGGCCTAAGAACCATATCTCATTCCTTCTTGGAAACATTCAACGTTTTGGCCTCAATTGCTTCCTGTGACAGAGAATTCCACAGGCTCACAACTCTCTGGGTGAAGACATTTCTCCTCATCTCAGTCCAGTATCCTTAGATTGTGACCCCTGGTTCTGGGACTCCCCGGTCTTCGGGAACATCCTTCCAGTGTTTACTCTGTCTGGTCCTGTTAGAACGTTACAAGTTTCTATAAGTTAGACCCTCTCTCATTCTTCTAAACTCCAGTGAATAGACTCATAGAGTCACACAGCATGGAAACAGACCCTTCAGCATAAATTGAACATGCCAAACATAATCCTAAACTAAACTAGTCGCACCTGCCTGCTCCTGGCCCATATCCCTCCAAACCTTTCCTATTCATGTATTTATCCAAATGTCATTTAAATGTTGTAACTGTACCCACGTTCACCACTTCCTCTGGAAGTTCATTCCACACACTAACCACATTCTTTGTAAAAAATTTGCCCCCCAGTCTTTTTTTAAATCTCTCTCCTCTCACCTTAAAAATATGCTCCTAGTCTTGAAACACCCAATCATAGGGAAAAGGCAGCTGACTTTAACTCTATCTGTACCCCTCATGATTTTATAAACCTCTATAAAGTCGTCTTTCAACCTCCTATGTTCCATGAGAAAAAGTCCCAGCCTATCCAGCCTTTCTTTATGACTCAAACCTTCCATACTCGGCAAAATCCTGGTAAATCTCTTTTGAATCCTCTTCAACTAATATTGGCAGCATTCATGGAAAGACACAGAGTAAACGTTTCGATTTCACTCTTCGTCAGAAATTTTTGAAAGTTTCTGGTGAATCCACTCCTTTCATGGAGAACGTTGTAGATCATAATTTGAAATTATTCGCTTGGAAATTATTCTCCATATTATCTCTGTCCCTCTATCCCACACTCTCTCCATGTCCTTTGGCCTTCAATCCTTCCATCCAACAATTCAATGGCTTTTTATAACTAAACTTGGCATTAGTTTAGTCACTGTTCAACGATCAGCCCTCTGTCCCTCACACTTTCAATTTCAGAATTTTAAACAGTCACCTCTGAGACAAAAGACATGAATTGAATCTGCTGTTTCAAATGAGACAAATGCATCTCCATTGGCAACAGATAATAAAACTACCAAAGTTAAACTTGGAAAAGCACTATCTGCAGGAATCCCAGACCTGACTGATGAACCAACCGAGTTCCACGGAAGAGATTTATTGTCGGAAAATGTTACACTTCATAAATATTTTATGGCCTGTTATTTCAAAAGAACATCAGTGGAAAAAGACAAAGAATAGTTGAGTTGTTTCCTGAAACAAGGCTAGTTTTACACAGCCCACATCAGACAGGCAGCTCCAGTCTGCACTATTCAGCCACTTGATCTTTCTGGTGATCTTGTGGTGCCAGGAGATTTCAGTGTCTCCTGCTCTCAACTCAGAGTCAGTGTCATAGGCTCAAGAGACACTCTGTAGATATCAATGATGACAATCATTACACTAGATGGAGGGTCATTACTGAGGGAATGCCGCACTGTCAGAGGGTCAGTGCTGAGGGAGTGCCGCACTCTTGGAGGGTCAGTGCTGAGGGAGTGCCGCACTGTCGGAGGGTCAGGGCTGAAGGAGTGCCGCACTCTTGGAAGGTCAGTACTGAGGGAGAGCTGCACTGTCGGAGGGTCAGTGCTGAGGGAACGCCGCACTGTCGGAGGGTCAGTGCTGAGGGAGTGCCACACTGTCGGAGGGTCAGTGCTGAGGGAGTGCCGCACTGTCGGAGGGTCAGTGCTGAGGGAGTGCCGCA